CACGACACACAATGGCCGAGGCAGACCGCGTGGCAGCGTTACGACCGCCAGCCATCAAGCGCGTACAAAAGGCGTTGTTGGTGTTGGTGGTGCGGAAGTGGAGTGGAGAGCTCGCCGGCCCCCAGCAGTCAATGCCTCGTTCCTCGTTCACGCGAGTCGGCATTGCACAGCAGGCAGAGGCAGCATGCGCGCACGGCATCGCACAAAGAAGGGAACAAAGAAGCACGGCGGCAGCACCTGGTCACGGGGAAAAGGGTCCATGTCGATTGCATTCCGATTGGCTCACAGACGTCCGGATGGTAGTCGTGCAGATGCCGCGCGGCTGTTGTGACTGCAATGGACTGAGAAGACAAAAAGAAGGGACAGAGACGCGGTGCGGTCCTCATCCATCTCGGTTAACTGTGACACCGGTGACGTCCTCCCGTCAGATCGGCTGCAGCAAAGACCGTCGCCGTCAGCAGCGGTCGGTGCCTTCCCTCTCCCACTGGAGCGCAACTCCACCGACGCAGTCGCTCGCCTCCTCCCCCACCAACACAACGAGGGAGCAACGGCAAAAGATGAGACACGCATGGCAAGTGCGCAGTCGCAGATCCCACTGCTGCCGCCATGACCAAACAAGGCTGGCTGCGGGGCGCAAAAAAAAAGAAGGGTAAACACCCCATCAAAAGCTTTAGCATCACGCGGAAAAACCGCAACCGACACACAAGGCGAAACGCCGTGAAGCAGGCACCAAAACCAAAGCTCCTCCAATAAATCCATCGCGAAGCAAAAAAAAAAAAACAATGACGGTGCAGAGGCAATAAATGGTTGTGGTGCGCGGCAGCCGGGGCATCGCGCCCTTCCCTCATCTAACGGCACCGCACCACAACGCACCGTGACAACAGCGTGCAACGACGACGATTGAGTAGCACACACAAAGCGGCATAAACGTTTCCTCCTGTACTCGCTCAAATTTATGCTCTCAGTATGTACTGCCAACGACACAGGGAAGGACACAGAAGGGGACTGTCCTGTCCATCCACCTTCTGCCACAACAGACCCTCCCCATCCTCCTCCTCGCTACACCCTGGGTGCCGCGAAACGCCGTCAAGCAAAGCCACGTGTATGGAAGTCCCCAATGCGCGGGGCGAGGCTGGCAGCCACCCACGCTCACTCTCCCGCACATATCCTCTCCCACAACTTTCCCACACACAACAGGGCAAAAAAAATGAAGAATAAAAGCCCGCCGCACAACGCACGCAGAGGCACCGCCATCCGCTTCGCACCGTGAAAAAAAAAAAGGCCGCAACAAGAGCGAAGGGTCAAATTCAAATCCACGGCGCTGTGCTTTACTTCTCTCTTCTCCGACAAATTGGAATTACGCCCCACACTCACAGTGAGGCACGGCGCACACCATCCGCTCTCCCTCCGAGTGCACTCAGCAGGCCGGCGCCCAGTCACCCTCGTGCCATCGCAATGGGGAGCACAAACAATCGTCGTCGCGGACCATCGGTGCCTCCCGCAGGAAAAAAGAGAAAGAAAAGGAACGAGGGCATGTCAACTGCACAGTCAGCAGAGAGACACTCAAAGGGACACGGAGACACAAAGCGACAGCAGATACGGTAACTACAGAAACAGACCGCAGGGATTTAAGGAAACAAAAAAAAGATGAGGGTCCGGGATAACTCCTAAAAATAAAAGAAAAAATTAATGGAAAAATTGATGCGGCAGGACTTTTATTTCATGGACCGAGCAGCACAAGACGACCAACCGTGTGATCGTGTATATACATATTGCCCGCACCAACAAAAAAAGAAGCGGAATTAAAATAAATAAAAGAGATCGCACTGTTCCACCAGCCCACACAGCATTCTTCACACGTCATTGCGGCATCCGGCCTTTTCTTCCAATCCTCCTTTCGTGCAGTCCGTGGAAGACACAGCCGCAGGGCCGGCACAACGTGTGGGCAACAACAAAAGCAAACAAAAGAGGAGAAACACGTCGCTCATTACAGTGTGCAGCAACCGAAAATTACGAAAAGAAAAAATGACAGTACTTACTACTTCGGGTAAATTAAGTAAAAAAACATTGAAAAGTAAAAACATCAACAAAATAAACGAATAGTAAAACTAACAAAAACGGTGGTATAAAAAAGCGCGGGCAATGCGGCATGTATTCTCCGTGAGGCGTCGCAGATCCTCACTCCGTGGCTCACAGACTGCCACGACCCAAATACAATCCCAGAGGAAGCAGCGGCACACAAAACACGCACGCACGGTATTGTTACCGCTCAAGTCACGCAGTGTCAATTTCACTTCGTTGGGAGAGGCGGGGCGGTCGTCGGGACTCACGCCGCTCCACACCCTGCGAGGTGACTATTTGTAGTGGGGATTCGTGTCCAGGGGTGTTGTGCCCATCCATTCCTCTTCTGTAATATCCCCAGCAGCGTGCTCCCTGACGCTGTCAAATACTCGAATCTTCTCGGGTGGTGTCGGAGCCGCTTCTCTCGTCGGAGCGGAGACCCTGTCCTTGAGTGCACGCATCGCAGTGAAGTTCAGTGGGCGGCTGTACAGAAAGACGTTCGTCACCGTCACACGAGATTCGTGCCCACCGCACGCGTCAAAGCGAACCCTCAGTACCTCAGGTGGCCTCTCGCCTGTTAACAGCACCTCTTCCGCCCCCAGCGAATTACCATCAACGTGCACAGATGTCTTGTTGCCTTGCAGCATGAGTGCCACTTGGTATTCTTTCCTCGGCCCCCAAGTGCTCCTCCGTGTTGTTGTCTTGCCTTCGATCGACGTGTACCACGTTTTATTGTGGCTGTACGACATTCCCACGGTATGATTGGACGCAGTGTCCGCCAACACCGCAGTCAGTGGAGGAGTGCTCTCACTCGGAGTCCCTTCGATGCTCACCGACGCCACAAGTGTGGAGTGGTGTCTCAAGAATACATGACGTACTTCATCACCTCGAGTGTTCACGGGCCATATTGCCCTGGACTCAAGTCGCGTGGATCGAAATCCATATTTGACCTTCTTTGCATTAGCCGTCACCGTTGCATGCAGGCAGAGGTACTCGTCGTTCCACGTGCCATCACTGGCCGCATCGGACAAAACTGCCACAAGCCCCGCCGTGGGTATAGAAAAGTTGGAGAAAAAAATGTCCCTTTGCGCCCAAGTACTGAGGACGGACCTGACCGCACTCAGTTCCTCCGTCAGGCGGGAAAGTGAGATGACACTGCGTTCACTGTTGCCCCTCCATCGTAAAAGATGCAAACTGCCATCCGAGTGCAGCAGGGTGCTGGCGAGCATCCAATCCGCAGCATTGTCCACGGCAACCGGTCCAACAAAAAACGTGCGGTTGTTGTCCGTGACCCAAAGGCAGAGCGCAGTGGCCTCTTTCTCCACCGAGGCGTACCCTCTCTGAATGTACAGCATGACCTTCCTTCCTTCCTCAGTGGTCGCGGTGATGAGGGCATCCACACGCAGGCTTTCTTCTGGGAGACTCCTGATCGTGCGTTGGCCCACACGGCTAAGAGTGTCCCGATGGCCTCCGTCCACGCTGTCCCCATGTCACGCGACTCCTACACCCTCTGGTCGTTCTCGCAGTCAACAATCATGAGAAGTGATCCCTCCCACTCGGTGACGCGGGGTTAAGGCATTCCGCAGAGGACATGCCCACTGCGAGCGCCCAGGCACTGCCGTTGTCCGTCGAGCAAATAACCATGGAGCAAACGTCGTCTGCCTCATTCTTCGCCATCAGAGGAAACACAAGCGTGCCATCCTCCACCACAACACCTGAGCCACCAGAAGCAATGAACGCCGTCCGGTCACCTTGTGAGAAGCAGAAGGGATCCGTTTCAAGAGTGGTTTGGGGTCGCCGCATTCGATCCACTCACTCCGCTTGCCACCCGTGGGATTCGTGACATCGCCCACAAACAGTTTCAGCTCCAAGCCACCCTCTCTCCAACACCCACCTTCGTAGGACACATCCGAGCCTCCCGCAAGAGGAAACACTCCGTTGCCCTTCGTGATTGTTGTGAGGCGGAGCACAACACCCAAACTCTCCTCTCCCTCCGCTGCACCAGGCACAGTGTGTGCCATCCATGTATCCTTTTATTGACCTCACCAACAACAGTGGACCAATTCCACACAGAGTCGATGTACCCCGCAACAACATCAGAAGAAAAGGGCTTACTTAATTGACCAAGTTGATATTCGGCATCCATGCGACCTTCAAAGAAAGCAGCAATTACTCCACCAGCACTGGCAAGGGAGGGTGAAGCAAATGAATCCCTCGTCGTAACTGGAACAATCCCATCCTTCGGCTGCACCAGCGTCGTCCGCGGAACAAATAGATCGGCTCCCTGCAGTAACTCAACGTTTATTGAACCACTCATCGCATCATCAATGGGATTCCCCTTCGGCTCGGTGACAGGCGTGGGCCTTCTTTCAGATGGTGCCGGAGTCACTTTTATGTTCCGAACAAAGGCAAACTCAGGCCTCGTCACGGACGTGTTGGTCGCCGTGTTGGATGCGGGACTCTGATCGACGGTGTTGGGTCCGTCAGCCGCCGCAGACTGTCGCCAATCCTCGTTCTGACGTGACGGCTCAGCATTCACTTGCGGCGCAGTTGTCTCGCCAGATTTTGTGTCATCCTTCCCTTCACGGGGTGGCGGCAACTGACAGATCCCCGTACGGTCAGCATCGCCGCTCCGTGCAGGCGGATGGATGGTTCCATCGGGGAAAAATTGACGCCACCACAATTCATAAGGGCCGGCGTATTTATGCGTCGTCACATTCATCGTGAAGGCAACGGTGGCCCCTTCCTCCCTCGTTGCACAGCTGACAGCACAGTTGCTACATGTGTGCACCGCATTGGCCACACGGCACACAGCAGCCAGCTCACCATCTCTGCAATGCATGCGCACAACAAAGCCACCGAAAGTATAGTTCTCATACTGAACCTCAGCACTGGCAGCAGAACACTTCTTCCACGCCCACACACACACACGCGATAGATCAGGCTGCCGTCACTCGGAGCACACGACACATCCATCGGCACAACCACCGCATCCGCATCACCAGATACATCTCCAGGACTCCCAGCAGCAGCACACACACGGAGCAAGCACCCACCACAACAGCCACACGCGCAAGTGCACCCTCATCCATCCATGACGCGGCAACAAAATTTCCTGCCATTCCACCCTCAATGGGACACGGAGCCCAACTCAACGCAGCCACACGCGGTGCATCACACCCACAGGAAATTAGACTCGGGGTGCGCTCCCTCTCTCTCCCCCTCCTCATGGCCACGGAAGAAGACAACAGCCGCCACACGCAACTGCCAGCATGCACCACAAAAGGTGCATTCAAATCCACTGCAATGTGCATCTTGTGTGTGTGTGGTTGTGTGTGCCTGCAGCAACACAAAGCAAATAGGTAGAAAAGAGGGGGCAGAGTATGTGGAGAGACGCACAAAAATGTACAGCGGAGATGCATAACGGAAACAACAACAAGAAGACCGCTCAAACTCATGACTGCACTGCAGCCCAAGCAGCGGCAATTCACAAAATATTTATTGAAAACAAAAAAAAGTCCCCCTTCGTCTTATGTAAACCCCATCGCACAAAATAATTATAAATGAAAAGAAATTGTCCATTACTGTTCCACACAAATTAAAATAAGAAAAAAATCGCCTGGCTGCCGTGTGGCCACACCAAACTGTCTGTATGTATTTTGCCCACAAAAGAAAATTAAAAAGATGGTTGCGTGTGCTTCAACCGTCCGACCCTCCATGTGCCCGCACATCGTTTATATTTCATGGGTCATCGGCGTGTTGCTGCTCCCCTCAGTCCTTTTATTGGTGCGTGAGTGCGGCCCGCAGAGCACAGTCACTCGTGTGTGGGGGGACTGAGAGAAGCACGCAGACATGACGGGAGTCGCGTCACTCCATCGGGAGAGTGAGCGCAGCAAAAAAAAAAAAAAGAAAACACGGCGGCAGGGTGTGGCTGTGTGTGTGCAGCGCTGCGGGTGTCTGCCAGCCCTGGCCGCAAAAAAACAAAACAAGAGGGAAGAAATGTGTGCTCCGCCCCACAGGCCCTCGTCGCACGCCCACACGTCACGGCTCCCTCAGCGCGCCGTTCGTCGCGGCCCCGCCTCATGCGTGCAGCAGGCGAGGCGCACAGGGCCGTCGTCATGAGCGTGTCGGTGGGTGTGCGAGTGGAGCAGTTGGGCGGGAAACACACGGCACCCCTCACAGGAAGAGTGCAGCAACAAACAATTAAAGAGGGAAGAGTAGAAAAGAAAAAAACGTCCATAGTGATTGCCCCAAAAGCAAAAAAAAAAAAAAAAGAAATGGGGATATAAAACACACAAAAAACAGGGAAAAAGGTAAATAAAAGTTATTATGAGGTAATAAATTTATTATCGTGTGTGTCGGTGCAGGGGAGGCCGCAAGTGTCCCACGCGGCAGCCAGTCACGCCTCACAGAGCCGCAAACACCCACAGTCCCAACATAAGAAGCAGCGATGGCAGCAGTCCGCTCCCACGCACAGTGCCGGCATCGCTGTTATTCCCCTGCGTCACATTTCCGAGACTGCTGCTGAGTGCCGTGGCATTTACTCCCCTGTCCCGTGCATGTACTCCTTCCTCCTGCCCATCAGTTCCTCCCGCGGCCTCCTCATTCGCACCGGAGCTCGCGCCCACCTCAGTTGTAGCTGCGGGGCCAACTTGAGCCACGTCCGTAGCGGTAGGAGTGTTTGCATCTGCTGTGTCGGGGGTATCCACAGGAGTTTGGGGTGGTGTGTCTCCCTGCATCGCACCTCCAGCTTCCGCTCCCACCCTTGGATCACCATCGGATGAAGAAGCGGCATCCACATGTTTGTTTCCACCGGAAGATATTCCTGAAGGCGGCTGAATTACGGATTGCTCTTTTCCTGAATTCGTTATAGTGGACGGTGTTGATGGGGACGTGCTGCCACCGACCGCACCCTCATTTTCATTCAACAATTTATGCCCCGACGGCGGTTGCCCGGCAGAAGAGGACTGCGACTGGGTTCCCTGGGCATTGTCAGGCACCACAGGTGGAATGAGGACATTATTCGGGTTGAAGGCGCCAATCTCCGCAGTACTCAACGGGCGGTTGTACAGCAGGACATTCGTCACAGTCACAGGCACGTCTTCTTTGCTCCCTGCGCTGCCTCCATCCCCTCCAATGTAGAAGTGGGAGATCTCGTTCGATTCCGTGACTTTCAATTCACAGGGCACATCCTCACCCACACGCTGACCATCGACGTACGCGGAGCCTTGGGAGCCGTTCCGTAGCAAAATCACCACGTGGTGTGCTGTATCCTTCTCCCAAGCACTGCTGTGCTCCTTGATCGGCCCGTCACTACACAGCACCTGCCACTTCTTTTCTTTGTCGTATGACAGTCCAAAAAGTACGGGATTATTATCGTCAACTTTCTTCGCGCCCATCAAGGTAATGGGAGAACCCTCCTTTGGCTCACCGTCGATGGACACCGTTGCCACAAGAGTGAAGTTGTAGTTCGCGAAGTGGTACAGCTGATTCTCCCCCTGACTGCCAACAGGCCACTCCGCCCACGCTCCCGTGAAATTCACACCATCGGAAGTTTTTGTTGTCCTCGCAGCCCCTGCATCCTCGGTTGCCCCATCTTTATTCTTTACTTTGGCGTTCACCCCGAGGTACTCGTCCCTCCATGTGCTACCAGAGAAGTTGCCGGACAAAAAGCCAACCAGCCCAGCCGTGATCTTACCAGCGCTGCAGGCAGTGTAAGTTGGGGTATCCTTCGCAGCTCTCTCAGAAGGGCACAGCTCGGAGACACGGTCGTCCACTTCCTTCCACGTCGCCAGCACATCCTTCACACGCTGCAGCTGCGCAGTCAGAAGCACAGAGACCATACCGGGTGATGGTTTTCCTTCATCGCTCTTCTCCTTCTCGTACAGTGCAATCAACTCCTCCTTCTTGTTAGTTTCACTTTCACCACTTCTGTACAACAGGGAGCTGGCGGCAGCGTCATCATCGGATACCGGCCCAATATCAACAATGTGCGTATTGTCCGTCAGCCAAAGATGGAGTTTTCCTTTTCTATTGTCCGTTTCTTTTTTACTGTCCTCCTTGGGATACACCGGCAGAGTAACGAGCATCACATTTCTATTATCAACAACACCGTCAATCCTCGCTGTGATGAACCCGCTTCTAACGCCCCTCTCATGTAGCTTACGGTTGTTGCCCCACACGCGCGAGAGTGTCCCGAGTACCTCCGTCCACGATTCCCCCTTGTCAGCGGACTCGTACACCCTGCGGCGGCCATCACACGCAGTCATCATCATGAGTTTTCCCTTTTCCCTCTCCACGACGGAGGGATCACTGCAACCATCGGCGGACATCCCCTTCGACAGCGTCCAACCCTCATTGGCCGAAAAGTATATAATCAGCGAAACGGTCGTTCCATTCTTTTCATTCGTGCCTTCCACTGGGAACAAAAACGTACCGTCCTCCATCCTAATACCCGATCCACCGCCGCCAATCAGTCCTGACCAAGATTCGTGTTGTTTTTTCAAATCAGTCCAGAGAAAACGGTAAGTATCATTCCAGTTTATTTTTTTGCCCTGCTCTTCACTGACGTTCCCTCTCACCAGCAAGAGTCCCCATTCATGTGCTTTACTCTTCTGAGTGCCAGCGGCAGCTGTACGGCTGTAGTTTCCAGCAAGCATGTAAATCTGACTTGTCGTCACAATTGTTGTTGGCCGGCCCACATGTATGTTCATCACTCTTTGGGAACCGTCCTGTTTCACTGCTTGTGAGGGGCATTGGCCTTCTTCCAAAGAAGCGCATTTATCCAGTACTTGTGTCTTCAATTTGCTCTCATCCAACTCCTTTTTTTTCGTTTTATCACTCAATTCCAGGAGCTCCGAGGCAATTCCAGTAAAAATACATCCTTCATCCTTCGTGCACTGCGCCTCGGCAACGGCAAACACATCACCATTCACCTCAACAAGACTGGGAGCATGGAGCGCACCCACTTTTTCTCCTGTTTTAATATCCCTCCAATCAATACAATTTCCCGGTGAAGATTCCTGACCTGAAGCCCCCCTATTATTCGCTGCGGCTCCACCAGTGCCGCAGCACATCATCACGAAGAGAAAGAGCGGAAGCACCGCGGAAGCAAACACACGCCGGGACATGTGGGGCCTCCGCGGCTCACCCTCTCTTCCTTCCCTCCTCCTGCCGCTGGATCCGGTCACGCAGCGACGGTTGTGTGTGCGGGGTGCCTTGACTGCAGCAACACGTGAGAACATATAAATATGTGTGCGTGGGCGGTGTGTGCTGTTGGTCCTTTCAGTGCCTTTGAATTTCACAGTAGCGATTCGCGCTTGTTTTCCTTCTTTCCTAGCGTGTCTTTGTTCAAGAAGTGGAGAGAACAGCAGCAACAGCGGCAATACACCAAACACGTCAGTGAGGAGCAGAGCAGA